GGCTCTTGAGAGGCGGCGCGCGACGCTGAGGCGGGCGCGCGTCTGAGGTGACGAGCGTTTCACTGAGGGGAGGAGCGCACCTGAGGAGGGGTACGCCTGAGAGGAGGGTTGTGTCGCTTAGAGGAGCATAGCTGAGGCGGGAGGAGTGTACCTGAGGGGTGAGGTGAGTGCCACTGAGGGCAGCGCACCCGAGGAAAAGAGCACTCCTGGGGGACCACACCTGAGGGGAGGGTTGTGTCGCTGAAGGGAGTACACCTGAGGAGGGGGGAAGCGCTCCTGAGGGGAGGAACGCCCTCGAGGGGTGAGGTGCATGCCACTGAGGGGAGCGCACCTATGGAGAGGCGAAGGCCTGAGGGGAGAAGCGCACTGCGCTGGGGGATGCGCACCCTCAGGAGAGGCGCGCGCGTCGCGAAGGTGGGAAACCCTGAGGGAGAGCCCCCGCGGCTTCCAGAGCTCCTGAGGGACAGCTTCCATAGAACCCCGAGGAGCGGCTTCCAGAATCCCGAGGAGCAGCCCTGTCTTCTGTCACAGTAAGGAGGGGCTCCCCTTACTTTGAGGAGCGTCTTTTCCAGAGCGCTGAAGGAGCACGGCTTCCCTAGAGCAGAGCCGGGGTTTCCTCGCTGTTTAGCACATCCTGAGGGGACTGGATTTAAGGTAAGCACTTAGCTGTTATGTACGGATAGCTATTAAGTAAGGCTCATAGTAGTCATCTGACTGTGTCATGGAGATTTTCGTGCCACCCAGGGCAAGGGGTTACTTGATTTATCCATTCTTTTCTAGGAGTCAGGGTTTCTTTTCTAGGAGTCAATGTTTCGTACCATAAGGGTTTCATACTTTGAGGGTTGTAATAGTTCCTCTGCCCGCTCACACAGGTGTTGGGATAAAAACCTTCCTTTCTTTTCTGGGTGGGTTGCTGCCCGGACCTGGTAGCCAAAATCTGTGGGAAAGCCTGAGGAGAGAAACTTAAAACTTCGGGGTTTTTTGTGTTTGTTTTGGAAGGTATTACAACTTTTCACATCACCAAGACTGAGCAACATGCAAAACTAAATTTCTGCCCAAATAGGCATGTTTAAGAAATAAAATACTGTTTTTTGCCCAATTAGATATATTTGAGCAAGAAAACACAGTTTTTTGAAGAGATAAGTGACTTACTGCAGTCACCTAAGAGGTGCGTGGCACAAGCAACTGTACCTGTGGGACAGGAGATGGGTTGAAAGAGAAATGAAGAAAACCATACAAATGTTCACACCTGCAGTTAAATCCTATTCCCTTAGCTTGGGAGGCCCATTCAGGGATTGCATAGAATTAGAAGAGTCAAAAGCAGTGAAACCCTTTGCAGCTTTATGTTGTTGTAGAGGCTATTGGAAATATAATATAGAATGCACAAGGAGGCAATAGAGAGGTGAAAGAGTCACAAGATTTGACATGTAACCTCATCATAGTAAGATTTTCAGGAATATGTGATACTAAATATATATTCTCACCACTGTTTACCTTTTTCATACCTTGGAAGTATCGTGATTTCCACACATCCAGGAAACTATCAGTGTATATGAGAAAGAAAGATTCAGTTCTGTGCAAGAATGTTGCTTTACTCACCAGTTTATGCTCCAGAAAAGCTTGGACAATGCACGATTGTTACCAATACAAGAAACATTTTCTAAATACATGCACGATCAAGTTCTGCCCTTTTGTAGTTTGCTCCCCTGAAGCTGTTCCTGTGCCTTTCACTACCCAGCATATCTCACCATGAGCAGTTCATCCAATGTTTCATAGCAATTTGTATCCCTTGTGTTATCTATTAATTTAATTTTGACCAAAACATTTCTCCTCTTGAGCTGTTTTTGCTCAGTATGCATTGCACTAGAAATTACCTTATTTAATTGTGAAGTAGCTCTGTACTTTACCAGGTCCACTGATTATTTCTTAATTGCATCAAGTGCAAAATTGGAGGCAGGGGTTTTCTTCTTCTTTTTTTGGCCATGATTATCTGAACCTCTGGCATTAAAAAAATGTCAAGTCCCTTTAGCCAAGTACATTTATAGATGCATCTAAATAAAAGTACAATAAGATCAGAAGCATTAAATATTTGTCCTGGGGTGACTTTATGATGCTGGTATCTCCAAATGGCCTGGTTTATGTTATATATTAAGTTCAGCACCTTTCAGGCTGGCTTTGAGAGCTAGGGAAGTTGAAACTGCTGGAGGCTGATGGGAGTTTTTTCTCCTGGCCAATAACTGGCCATTTCTGAGAATTGACAGTGGTTTTAACCATTGAAAAGTGAGATCAACCTGTGAACACCTACCTTAAGATGCAAACCCAGGAATTTCTGGCTCTCTTTGGTTTCTGGCTTCTGAAGAGGTGACAGGCTCCTGCTCAGCCTCCCCCTCCCGCCCCCATCAGGCAGAACAAGGCTGCAGAGGGGTTGGGGGAGAGAAAAGCAGGGCTGGCCGGCCTGACTCAGTTTCCAGTTTCTGCCGCTGAACTGAAACCTGACACCATGAACATCTGCAGCTTGAGCAAGACTTTAACTCTTTTACTACCCAGATGAGACTTGCAGATTAATCCTTTTTTTTCCAGAGAGAGGGGAAGAGAGGGAGTGACCAACATGTAAAAACTATCCAAAAACAACCAAAAACTATCAAAGACAGTGAAGAAAGGAATTAAATTTTAGAGGGGGAAGAGAAAATAAGGAGATGCTTTAATAAGCTGAAACATTTTTCTGTTAAAGCTATGGAGATGGACAGTAGTGTCTGAAAAAAAAAACCTCCTTTAATTCATGAGAGAGTATATTGGGAGGAATGGAGTGTTTCAAGTTCACTTCACCATTTGAGCAAATGGTGAAGTGGTTGTGATCCTGTGAGATGCTGAAACAGGGGGGAAGAAGTAATAGTTGAAGATTTGTGGCCTTTAAGTGGCAAAGAGAAAACTTCTGTTTCCAAAGAGGCTCACAAAAACAGATGAAGAGAACTTTTACCTTTGAATAACTCATCCTTGAAAATGTCCATGAAAATGACATCCCTAAACTCATTGACCCATAACACACCTCAGAGTGATGTGAAATGGGAGGAGAGAACTGATGGCAGAATTTCCGGGCAGCTGGCATCAGAAAAATAGAAAGCTATGAAGAAGATAGTTTTCTTGTGTAAAACTCCATAGATTAGCAGAAGAAGACTTCTGTTTCTCTACAAAGACTGATGAAAAGATTCTACCAGGAATTGGGACTGTTTTAACCACCATGGGGTTTTTTTCGTCTCTGTGTTGTCATGTGAACAAGAGAATGGTTGGGTAGTTGGGGGAAAAAATAGTTTCTGAAGGTTTTATTCTGGTTTCTTATTCTTACAGTTTTTGTTAATAAACTTTCTTTGTTTCTTTTAAGTTTTAAGCCTGTTTTGCTCTTGTTCTAATCCATATCTCACAGCAAGAAATAAGTAAGTTTTCTAGTGATTTTTTTTTTAGTTACTGCTTTAAAACTACGACACTTATTTGGTGCATTGGCCGTGAAATGAAATTGGCAAATCTAAACTACTACAGCATGCCACGCTTTACGTTGGCAAAACCAATGAAGAGCATTGCAGAAGCCTCATACAAGTGAGCTGAACAGACACTGCAAAGTTAAAGCCTTAGCAGGCACAGGTTGCAGCAGGGGAGGTTTAAATTGGCTATTAAGAAGAATTTCTTCACAGCAGGAGCTGTCAAGCATTGGAACAGGCTGCTCGAAGAAGTGGTTGAATCACCAGCCCTGGAGGCATTCATAAGTCGTGAGGACGTGGCACTCAAAGACACAGTTGAGTGGTGGACTGGGCAGTGTTGGGTTAACAGTTGGATTTCATGACATTAGAAGCCTTTTCCAACCTGAATGAATCTACATGATCCACTCAAGAACTACTCAAAAAGAAGAACTACCACATTCTTGATGGTGATGAGACAAGAAAATATGAAAAAAACCAACATACCCTAGGGAAAAGAAAAAAGCTACGGAGTTCCAGCATGCTTCTACAGCATCGAGTGTTATTTTTTATAGCTAAATAATAATAATAACAAAACAGATGCAAGAGTGGTAACATAGGGGAAATACTTACGTAATATGAAAAGGTTGCTTGGTGAGATTAATGCCAAAAGGACACCACATAAATCATTGTCAAAGCAGCTTGGCCCTATGTTCCGAATAATTTTTAAAAAGCCATCTATTTTTAAAAAGGTTAAAGCAATTTTTATTCCTCTATAGCTTGCATGAAGATGATGTTTCTATATTTTATTTTTCCTCTACACAATTCATGTTCAACAGCAAGGAGAGACAGGGAATTCGTATCTGCTGCTAAGATAATTATCTAGTTCCATGAGGAAAGTCAGATTAATTGGGATTTTATGTAGTATTTCTACACTAGCAGTAAGAATCAGTCCTTTGTAGAAACAGGCATAAGAAATTTTATGGAGTATAAGAATACTTATAGAAACTTGACACATTCAACTGTACAAAAGGTACATGAGCACTAAATGAGGCAACTGTATCCATACAAAAACCAAAATTTACAAATGACTCATACTACTGAAATGTACAGGTGCTGTGGTACTTTCTCATTAAGACTTTATATTCCAATAAAGAAACAAAACCAAGAGCAGTAATTATTTTCTAGTGCCTACTGCCTAAATTTAAAAGCCATATTCCAGAACACAAATCAAAAATAACTACCTGACTTCCAATATCCCAGAGGAGACATGTTCAGCAAGGATTAAAAAATTCCCTCCATTTTCAAACTGTGAAGACACGGTACCTAGTAAAACATTGGCTGGTATTGATCTCTTAGATTACAACAAACAGCCCCAAAGTATTGTACAGAACCTAGATCCAAATTTGAGGTTGTTCTAAGCAGTGTAGCTTAACTGACACACAGACCAATAACAAAAACACGTTGCTAATGTTCCTAACATGCATTTTTTTTTTTTTTTTTTTTTTTATTACGTGGACTACTTTAATT